AAATTTCAAGAAGTATGTTGACAAATGGGAAAATTCAGGAATAAAACCCAAAAAAAATATTGTAATTCCTTGAGGTTGAAAAAAGTTTTAAGTCAGGCCATTTTGAGCCAGTCGGTCGGGATAGGGCAACCAAACAATTTTTTAAAGTTGGCCTCATGAAATCATTTTGCTCTGAATTATCCTAAAGTAAGATATATATGCACACACTTGTTGAGGACAAAGACAGTAAACTGTCAAATAGGAGAAAAAAGATTAAATGACCTTGAATCTTTACTTTGGTAAATAAACAACTATGGGTTTATGATCCGAGTAGTACGAATCTAGGGTTGCACATGATATATCAGAATTTGACATTAACGAGGAGAAAACATGGTCCTAGTTAGAATAATCTAACTGTGTCTCGGGACAAGCCCTCACCACAGTTAGAATACGTCCCATATACTTGCAATGTAGCAAATCGGAGTGGATCCACTCCGAAATGATTTTGAAGAATAAAAAAGGAGTTGCACTGAAAATAACTACCAAATTAATCATAACAAACCTTTTTGAGATTGTATATGCCTTTTAACCTAAAAATAATCCATATAAATACGAAAATTCAACTCATTTTCTCAACGTTTTTTCCTCGCTTCAAATTTAACGCCATGTTGACATTCGGAACTCTCTGGATTGTTCATAGAAAATGCACAGAGTTCGAGTTATCGCCCATGTTTATTTTGCAACATTGCCAATACACGGAACGAATTCTATCGTTCAACCGGGTCCGTAGGGCAGTATCATTTTAACGATAGAACGTTCTATCCAACATGGTCCAAGAAAGTGTCATAGTCTGTAGTACTTCTGTGCATGAGTTGTCGCAGTCCAAGTTTTCGCAAATTTGATGTAAATGACTTCTGGGAATAGAAATCAATGTTTGTATCACCAAGTATCAGGACCGGACCAGCTTTATCAAATTTTGCTTGCATTACAGTTTGTATTTGGTGAAATTTGCTATACTAGAAATCTTGGGTGGGCAGTATAGAAGTGCAACATTCATTATCATGTCTCGAAACAGGAAAGATGCAAATACTGTTGCAATTCCAAGAAAAATACAATATTCTATTTCAATGAAATCTATCTTTGAGTATACAACCATTCCATGAAATGGTCTATCATTGTCAGATTTATCACTCCCATCAAACCTAAACATATAAAAACCAGGCATTTCATAAATACCATCAATATCTAATCTGTTCAATCTACTCTCTGATATTGCAATTATATCTGCTGAAGTCAAATTCATATCACTTTTCAAGTCTTCAATATATTTTCACATCACTTGTAATGTTCTGTAGATTTGGTAGACAGAGTGACAGAGATGCATGCTCACGGAGCCTTCTCATTTCATCAATAACTTTAGGGGAGACAACTATTATCATTCAATTCTAAAATATGCAAGTCTTGTAAACTTCGAACCCTACTCAAACCAACATAATGCAAATGTTCCTGTTTTCTTTTTCCCAAATCCAAGACAGTTTTTTTTATAGTAGAGCCTTGAGCTTTATGTATTGTTTTGGCACAGGCCAATCGCAATGGAAATTGTCTTATGCACACATGACAGGTCTTGTTTCTTCCAACAGTAAATCTTTTGGATTCTTCAAGAATAGGAGTCCATGATTTTGATATTGTATCATAACCGGGTCAATCTCATTCTGGACTCCAGTCTAATTGTTTTATTTCCCTATACCTCAACCACTGAAGTTTGAGGAGGCAGAGTCCCGAATGACATTGTGCCGATCATGCATTTTTAGGTCACCTGAGTCACTCAGGTGACCTATTGCTATCTGTTCTCGTCCGTCGGCGTGCGTCGTGCGGTGTGCGTCGTGTGTTAACATTTGAACATTTTTAGCTTCTTCTCTGAAACCGCTTAACCAATTTCAACCAAATTTGGCATATAGCATCTATGGGTGAAGGGGAACAAAAATGGTGAATTTCATGGTCCCTGCCCCCCCTGGGACCTGAGGGGTGGGGCTAAAACCACTGAAAATAATGCAATCTTTAAAAATCTTCTTCTTTACTCCAGGACATCAAGCAGTCAAACTGTTGGCATCATAGTAATAAGCATTGAGCCCTCTACCAAAATTGTGAAATTCATGGCCCCAGGGTCAGGGGTTCTGGTGCTAGGGTGGGGCTATATAGAACATATAGTGAAAGTGCATTATTTCTTTGAAAATCTTCTCTGCTCCTGGGTATTAAATAAACTAAATAAGTACATAGTTATGAAGAGCAAGAGTGCCTCATCCAAAATTGTGAATTTCATGGCCCCAGGGTCAGGGGTTCTGGTGTCAGGGCGGGGCTCTATTGATTATGTAGTGAAAATGCATGAATTCTTTGAAAATCTTCTTCTCTGCTCCTGGGTATTAAATAAAGTAACTAAGTACATAGTTATGATGAGCAAGAGTGCCTCTTCCGAAATTGTGAATTTCATGGCCTCAGGGTCAGGGGTTCTGGTGTTAGGGCGGGGCTCTATTGATTATATAGTGAAAATGCAGTAATTCTATGAAAATCCTTTTCTGTGCTCCTGGGTATTAAATAAAGTAACTAAGTACATAGTTATGATGAGCAAGAGTGCCTCTTCCAAAATTGTGAATTTCATGGTCCCAGGGTCAGGGGTTCTGGTGTTGGGGGGGGGGGGGCTCTATTGATTGTATAGTAGAATTGCAGTAATTCTATGAAAATCCTTTTCTGTGCTCCTGGTTATTAAATAAAGTAACTAAGTACATAGTTATGAAGAGCAAGAGTACTTCTTCCAAAATTGTGAAATTCATGGCCCCAGGGTCAGGGGTTCTGGTGTTAGGGGGGGGGGGGCTCTATTGATTATATAGTGAAAATGCATTAATTCTTAGAAAATCTTTTCTGCTCCTGGGTATTAAATAAAATAACTAAGTACATAGTTATGATGAGCAAGAGTGCCTCTTCCAAAATTGTGAATTTCATGGCCCCAGGGTCAGGGGTTCTGGTGTTAGGGGGGGGGGGGCTCTATTGATTATATAGGGAAAGGGCATGAATTCTTTCAAAATCTTCTTCTCTGCTCCTGGGTATTTTTCAAACAAAGGAAGTGCATGGTTATGATAAGGAAGAATGCCTCTTCCAAAATTGTGAAATTCATGGCCCCTGGGTCAGGGGTTCGGGGGGCTCTATTGATTACATTTATATAGTGAAAATGCTTAATTTCTTTCAAAAATTTTTATCTACTCCTGGTTATAAACTAAAGAAACAAGTGTATAGTTATGATGAGAAAGGGTGCTTCTTCCAGAATTGTGAGTTCGTGGCCAATGGGTCAGATGTTCTGGTGTAAGGATGGGGCTTTATTTATTTAATAATATGGTGAAAATGCATTTCTTTGAAAATTGTCTATGCTTCTTTGGATGTTCAAGACAAACAGAGTAAAAGTTTTAATATGCAAGGGTATTTTTACCAGAATTTTGAACACCTGGACCATTTAGTCAAGTTTTCTGGTCCTGGCCAGGGCTCTATTAACTTGTATTCTACTGAGCAAAGTTATTCCCCTTCATTCACCTTTGATAATTAATCAATTTACATAATGTATTTGAAAGCTTAATAGAATAAGAGAATTATGCAAGAAAATTTATTGTATAATAAAAAAAGTACTTTCATAGTTTTAATGACTTGGAAATAATAGATGAATAAAAATGAGACAAAAATAACCTATCTTTTTAAATGTTCTTCAACGGCCAAGAGAGGCCATTGTGAGAAGGAATAATATGGGCTTGAATAATAGACATTTTGTTAATAGTCTGCATGGGAATAGTGATAAATGGGGGGGGGGGGGGCAGATAGATACTAGACCAATTATTTTGTTGATGCTAATCATACTATTTTCTTGCTGTTGGGCAACAAAGCTTCATTTATCAGTTTATGGATCCTCTAAATTGTTGTATTGTACTCAGGTGACCGTTAAGGCCCTTGGGCCTCTTGTTGTATAACCCGGGATCTTTGGCTATGCAATTGAGAGGACACATCAAACATAACGACTCTTTAAATCTTTAAATCCTTGAGCTTGGTCGGTGTGACCCAAGTCAACAATTTTTAATTTTTGCTAAAGGACGCTTGGCTAGTCAAATTCCACCTTCAATAAATAAGGACCTTTCCTGACCAGAGCGGCTCACAGGTGTTGGGGAGTGGAGATGTTACCCAACCTGTATAACATGCAACCAAGACAGTCACAATTCAGCTTTCACTCTATATTAAACAATCCATTTTAATATTTTTAATTACAATGAATAATTTCACACACGATACTAAACATTGTAATAAATATTACTACTTATAATATGAAATATTTTAACCTGTAAATAAAAAGAGCCATCTGAAAATATAATAACTTTACAAAACACCGCGCAAGTCTACAAAATGATCTCACCTGTATAACATGCAACCAAGACAGTCACAATTCAGCTTTCCACTGAAATTATGTCTATCCCGGCCGCCTGTTTTATGCTTGAAGTCGTACATTCCCATATTTGTTATTCCTTCATATTTTGCAATAATGACTCTTAATTTTAATTTGAATTTTAATTGCTATTATTCTGTCTTCCAAAACTCTTTAATTTCCTGATGCACTTTAAAAATCCTTTCCTATCTTTTGCATAATCTTTAAATATTATTTGTTGTAGCTAATTTATACCAACAACTGACCTCTGGTCACTGCAATACTATTGGTTGCTCCTTCATCCTAACCAAATATATCTTTTGATAAACAAGTAAACAGCCGTATTCCAATGAATCATTTTCTTGGAACCGTCCAGGGTCCGCCGTCATAAAACATACTTAAGTCTGAGAATCTTCTCAAGTCTGAGAATATTCTCAAATCCTAAATTCTCAGACTCAGCGGCCGTCATAAAAAAGTTGAGTAAAATAAAAATTCTCAAACTCTGTTCTATTCTCAAATATTTGAGTTTACTATAAAGCAAACTTAAGTACATTCTCAAGCATTAAAAATGGCTGCCATGATCCAACGTCGACGTCGAAGGAGACAGAATCTGCTTGTTTTGAGGCGACCACGAGTATTTCGTGACCTAAGCAATCCTTTGGAGAGTCTAGAGGAGGAAGAGTTTTTTCAGAGATATCGTTTTTCTCCGGGTAGCATACTTTATATTGTAAATGGTGTCAGTGACGATCTTCAAGCAGATACTGCCAGGAACCGACCCATTCCTCCACTGATCCAGGTTCTACTGTTTCTCCGTTTCGTGGCTACAGGGGCACACTTACGACTTATTGGAGACAGTCTTAACGTTTCAGAATGTACGACTGGAAGGGTTGTTAAAGCAGTAACGAGGGCCATCATTGAAGTTTTTAATAATCTGATAAAATTTCCTGTAGGTGAAATAGCGACCAAAGTCAAGGAAGGATTCAGAAGAGTTGCAGGTAAGACCTATAATTTAGGAAACAAAAAAAAAAAACACTGCAAAAATCGTTCTTTGTTTTTATGTGCAAACCCTTAAATACACTACATGACTGAAAGATTACAAAAACAACAATTAAGTCCATAAATACACTGGAAAGAATACTTACTTTTCTGTAAATTTATGAAAAATCCCCTTACAGTCAATTGCATTTTTTTCCCGTCGGCATTTACGGAAGATAGGAAGAGTTCCACTAAGGGCTACAACTGTATTTAATGCAATAGTGAAATTAGGTGGTGGATCCAACACAAACTTTCAAAACAAAGCTGTTCTGTTTGTTATTTGTCAACATTGACAATAAAGTGTAATGATATTTAAGCTATAAATATTAACAATACTTAGTGCAAAATAAACACTAATTTAAATTCTTGTAGCACATTGGAAAGAATTACTACTGGGTTTTTTTGGCTTGTTTGTTTGTTTTTTTACTTTTTTTTTTCAAATAATTGTTTTTCTTATTTTCATTTATATATGTACTATTTTTTACTGCTGTGTTAGAAAAAAAAAATGTGGGTTGGGTATTTTTTGTTAGAAAATCATCAATAATGGCAATTTAAAAAAAAAAAGAAAAAAAAAGAAAACAAAAAATGAAATAAATATTTTTATTAATTAAATTACTTTGATATATGAATTTCAAATGAGTTTAAGGTATTGTTAAAAAAAATACAGAGATGTTTTGGGTTGTTCTTGCTAGAAATAAGTAAATAAATATACATGTAATTTGTTTTTTAATATATTAGCCATACAACCTTCATACTTTTAATGTCTTCATATAATTAAAGTTGAAACAATTATTATTAATTTTCATGGACAGGTTTTCCCAAAGTTTTGGGTTGTATTGATGGAACCCAGATAAGAATTCAAACTCCATCACTGAATGAACCTGATTATGTGAACAGGAAGGGATTCCATAGCCTCAATGTTCAGGTATTTAAAAAAATTTTTTTTAAGGATTTAACTTTTGATTTTTTATATAGCAGCTAGAACATGTATGAAGTTAGTTTGACCATAATATTTCATTGTAGAAGCTCACTTTCTTTGGCATTATGAATAGACATCAGACCTTTTTAATTCTATAATGAGGGATGTCAGCTACAGCTGTACTTCAAAAATTAATCATAAAAAAGAAATTAGAATAATAAATAATTGTTAAAATATAATTTTATGAAAACATATGTTTAAAAACATGGATTTCTTTAGATGGTATGTAGTCCCACTTTCAAGGTGACTTCACTTTGTGCCAGGTGGCCTGGATCATGTCACGATTCGAGAATTTGGAGAAATTCACACCTTTACCAACAATTTGAAAATGGTACATCTTCAGATTATATATTAATGTAACTACAATGTACATGTAATGTGTTTCTCCATATGTATCCTTTTCCTGAATTGCATTGATTATGTTCTAGCTTGACTTAAGCATGCATTTATACCCTCATTTAATTTTCAGGGTTACATGATGGGATTCTGCTTGGGGATTCTGGGTACCCCCTTACAAGACACCTCATGACACCCTATTTAGCACCCGCGACGCAGTCTGAGGAGAGGTATAATGCCAGTCTATGCCAGACCCGTGTCTTGATTGAACAGACCTTTGGCATCATGAAGAGGAGATTCCAAGCTCTCCAAATCGGGTTCAGGGTATCCCCAGACCAAGCAGTACAGCTCATTACAGCTTGTGTAATACTCCATAATCTAGGAATTGACAGAGGAGATATTTGTGTGCAGCAGAATTTAACAAACATTGATGTTGCCGCCTGCATCCAGCAAAATATTCAGGAACCTGGACAAGTCCGCAACGATGGGGTATTAAAGAGAGCGGCAATTACACAAGGATTTTTCTAAAAGAAATATTAATGCAAACTGTAGATCTAGTGTCCCTAGTTTAAATTAGCCAAGTCAGAGAAATGTTTTTAATTTTATTAACTTTTTTATGAAAAGAGGTCCAGTTTTGCTCTCTCTCTTTCTTTCTCTCTCTCTCTCTCTCAATGTATTTTATTTCAGAAGTTCCAAGGATAAAAGAGACCCATGGGACACAATGCTCACATGATTCACATTGGCCTATGCTAAGATCGAAACCAACTTGAGTCTGCACTACTTGATATATTAAAACCAGAAGTCTGATAAGATTGTAGCTCTACTGGATAGCATAGTCTACTTGTGTACAAAGTCTTATTGAAATCAGAATTAAACTGTAAGAAGAGTATCAATTTGAGAAAAAAAATCCCATAAATTTCTATTTTAGTAACCATGACAACACCCTAAGGACAGACAGAAGGACAGACAGCTATAGGCAGATGTCATGGACAACAGTGATCAGAAAAGTTTGTTTAAACTTTTGGTTCATATGAGCTAAAGGTGAAATAAAAGCATATTTAAAGTTCTGATGAAATATGGACCAACATTTCAGGATATGTTGTTTGAATGTCTAACAGAGGCCTCTGCTTCTTCAGGGTGAGAACCTCCTTATGGATGTTCAGGACTTCCCTCTCTTGTTTCACCTTAAGGATCTCCTCCTCAAATCTTTCATTGTCTAGCTTTAAATTTCTTTCTTCCAACTCTTCAAGTTTTCTTTTATTGGGTTCACCTGTTTGATTAAATTACAAATGCATTAAACCTAAAACTGAAGTTTTTTTTTTTTTTAGATTCTTTATTTTTGTTCAATTGGCTTTACATATTACATGTACATTAACATTTTTTCATCTTCTTTGTTGATCATTTAGAAATAATTCAATAGATGTATTCCAGAGCTGAAAAAAATCACTTGAATACTGTTTTGTACTATTTCAATTTGTGTTTTGAAGCTTTGACTAATTATCAGCAGATTGAAAAGAAGTTATACAATTTAGATTTTTTTAAATAAAAAATATGCTATATCATACTGAAATAGATATTGGACTGTCTTTATTTAACTATACATTTATTTTTAATACATATTATAATCCATAAAATATAATTATGTTATTGAACCTTTCTTTCTTTTTTATTTGATATGAGAGAGAGAGAGAAAGAGAGAAGTGCTACATTTTGCTGACAAACCTTTCTTTTCCTTTCTTTTATGTCTAACAGATGACATTTCTATATCTCGCCTTTCTTGCAATTGGGTGTTAGATGAAGAATCTGCAAAATTATTTGTCAAATGAATCTGTATTCTTAAAAATTCTTGTTTTGAGAATTGAAGCTTGAACTGCATAGGAGGACTGTTTATTTCTGTCTTCTCATGAATGATTAAGAATTTGACAGATAAACATTCACTGAACTAATAATCAACATCATTTTGCATTGTCATGTTGAATTTTTGTCCTAATTTTTCAGTCCATATACATACCATTTACATAATTAAGAACAAATCACATTTATTTATCTTGTGCATTTATCCCTGCATTTTCTCCTTGGGCATTTTCAGGGACTGTGATGACACTGGCTGTTGGAGCTGGAAAAGTAACAAAAATACTGATTGTAATTTTTTTTTTACCATAATTGAAGAAAAAAACAAACTTATAATTAGTGTCTAAATATAGCTTAATTTGGCAATTGAATATATAGATCTTTAATAATTAGAAAAAATATATTAAAATTTAATTGATGAGTTAGAGCTATAATTACAAGGAACATAAATAATAATATATATATAATGTACTACAAACTATGCCATCAGTATCCACCCCTCCCTCGAGGCCATGGATGTTGGGTTCTTTTTCAGATAATTTAAGTTATGTTTCCTCCCCTTGAGTCAATGGGGGTAGAGGAGGCCCTCCTCCAGTTTTAGGCCTCTTTAGACCATCCAACTTCTCCTTGCCTATAATTCATTAAAAAAAATTCTACACACATGTACAAAGGTGAAGATGTCATCATTTTTTAAGGAACAGGGAATGAGATTGCGTATATATATATATATATATATATATAGTTATATATATATATATATATATATATATATATATATATATATTTATAATAGTGTATTTGCTTGAAGTTGTTTTTTTTTTTACTCTTTACAATTAAAAAAAATTACTTTTAATAATCATTTCTCTGCTAAAAAGTATAGGAAGTTAACAGTCTTTACTTCTTATTTTGATGTTATAATGTTTTTTTTTTCTGTATTTCCTCCCAACTCCGCTTTCTGGTGTCAAATTGTCTGCAAATATTATAACAATACTAAAATATTTGATCCGCTCCCATTTTCAAGTTTATCTGAGAGTGTAACTAAAAATAGAAATAACTTAAGAATGGAAAATCCCATTCCCATCTAATCTCGTGAGAAAGGTATTAACGTGATCGTATTTTAGCTGCCGTTATTTTCTACAGCTGATTGAACAATTAGTGATGACCGATTTACAAAATATAATATGCAAATGAAAGTATATGTATGTTTAATGTTAAATAGTGAAAAGTTTGTATATTCGGAACCCGAAAAATGATAATTATATTTAAAAAATAAATTACTCATTGAATCTACATTAAACAAACTACTTACGAATTTAGTCTGTCGGCAATTGACTGCCACTCTTTTCTTTTATTTCTTTACCCTTCCCCTTAACTCTGCTCCCTTTCAATGCCCCCCAAAGTGTGGTTGCCCTCGATTTGACCTCTTCAATGAGGGCAACCTCCTCATTAACTCCCCAATTCTGTCCCTGTTTTTTTGTCCATTATGGTGTAAAACGTATGTGTATGTATAAAATATAATGCAGACGATGAAAAATATGCTAATGTTTTTATTTACGTGTAACTACACATATATTCTTACCTTTCTGGCGCTAAAGAGCTCCAAAAGGCCACTTCAAACATCGAAAAAAACATCACGCGAGATTTTCATTTCCAAAAAATTCTCAACTCAACTCTTGAGAATTACTCAGCTAAGAATATTCTCAAATCGTTTTATGACGGCGGTTTTGAGAATATTCTTGGCTGAGTAATTCTCAAGAGTTGAGTTGAGAATTTTTTTGAGAATTCTCAAAGTTTTATGACGGCGGACACAGGTGAAAAGGTCAAACCCTAGTGGCCAGCATCTATGTTTATTTTTATCTTCAGAGCTTTGCATCTGTTAACTCTCTCCGCCAAATGATGCCAATACACCAAGAATATGTTGCTTTCTTATTTTTATGAAATTTTTGTTATGGTAATATTATACTAAGTGTTTTATACAAATACATATAACAGTGAACCTTGCGCTCATAAATTCTGCGCAGTCACTATTTTTTTGGGAATATCACCCGTCGTCAAACAATTTTGACTGTTGCTACGCTTGAGGACGTGGCTTCATCATTCAGCGGGCAATAGTGTTTTTTAACAAATGTTTCTCGACGAATCAGATTCAACTAATTTACATGAAAGTATAATATAAAAATATAATTATGAAAGCTTAAACATATGTTCAATCTACAATGAACTCTAACTTAACTATTTTTTGTGAGTAAAGAACTGACTTCTTCTAATGAAGCTAATCAAGATATTTTCATCAAGCTAGCTGCTTCATACTTTAATGCAATGTTCATGTTGCATTACTACTGTAATGATCGGGGGGGGGGGGGGGGCATTCGTGTCCTATGGCGATATTTCTAGATTTCAACAACATTGTACATGTAACATGGATATGTCAAACATATTTCTTACGTTGGGGATAGCGATATGCGGTAATTCCGATCTCCAGATGTTAAGAAAATGGTACAAAGAGATGTCGATGTTGGTTTCCTCTACCATTTGTTCGTACAATGTTGTTTTTGATTGACAAGGAGGTAAGTGGATTTGCGTGGTGTTTGGAATTTTTTCGCCGTAGTTACTGGCACAGAGTTCTAACCAAGCAAGGGCTTCCGAGGTGCTGGGCTGCTTTGGCTTTGTTTTAGTGTGCTGGATGATAGTTTTCTCTTTATCTACATAAAAAGGTGAAGATATGCTTAAAAACAGAAAGTGCATCATTTCAATTCCTTTAAGATTTCAAAGAATTTTTACTGAAAACCTAGAAAGATACAGCGACTCGATTATTAACAAATCAGAATTCAGCTGATGTGGATATTTACAAGATGCAAACACATTGAAAATATGACAGAAACCGACTTTTTTGGATTTTTCATAGATATTGAACGGTAAATTTCATTTTGAGGGGGCACAATCATACATTTTCAGTTGGAGTGGGGCACTTCCAAATACCTAAGTCATAGAGAATTATGATACAAGAGTTCCTTGCCAAAGTTCAATGGATTTCTTTTAATATTACTCGAAAATGAAAGTGTTTGACACACATGCAGACGGACAGACAAATCCAGATTGAATATGGGGGTTTAACTAATGTTTAGGATTAGAAATATTATATGTCGTGGTTTCCATGTTTTTCTGATGTTCTCTCTCTCTCTCTCTCATGATCTTTCACTAAATGTTTTCCTACATGTTTGTCATTCATGATTTATAAGAGATATTAAAAATTACTCAGGAATTTCTTTCTGATTTCATAGAAAGTTGACTTAGGAATTCCCAACGCTATCCTAAAGCAGGTTAGGCACACTGTCGTTGTGCCTAGGATGAACCGAAACGACCAACTTCCAGTTGATTCATTGAACCTAAAGACAGAAAAAAAAATTATTTTCCCTGCTTAATGAAGAGTATATTAACCTTCAATATTAATGTAATATTTATGAAACTCCTCTGTCTTATAGAAATTCTTTTTAATCTTTTTATTTCTGTTGCCATTGGATTGAAAGTTTTGTTATAATCCAAAATGATCTCGGACGTCCGCATCGAATTCATCGCGGACGTCTGAGAAAACATTAAAATGAATGAAATGTTTTCTCGAATAATTCGATGCAGACATCTGAGAGTTTACCATTCAACTTAATGTTTTCTAAGACGTC